GGATGCATACCTACATGTACCAATAGCAGTAACTAAAGTTGTGATCAAACGTTTGCATACCCTGGCAGAAATTATGAAATTTTTGCATTGATTTTGAAAATAAGACTAATCGTGCAAAACAAAATGTATTTTATTGAAGGATAGTGATCATATGAAGCCATTTATTATCACATAGTTGTTTGGCTCCTTTTTAAATCATTATAACAGAAATCACCCAAATGGCCCTGATCAGAAGTTTACATACCCTTGAATGTTTGGTCTTGTTACAGACACACAAGATGACACAGGTTAAAATGGCAATTAAATGTTAATATCACACACCTGTGGCTTTTTAAATTGCAATTAGTGTCTGTGTATAAATAGTCACTGAGTGTATTAGCTCTCATGTGGATGCACTGGGGGGGAAGTGGGGGAGCTCTAAAGGCACAGGGAATCTTGTGAATGAATGCAGCATGTTACCAGAAAATAGTGGCAGACAATTTGAACGAAGGCTGCGCATGGGACACTCTTGGACATTCCAGCATGTTAATGACCCTAAGCACAAGGACAAGTTGACCCTCCAGTGCTTGGAGTGGCCATCACAGTCTCTTAACCTTAATATCGAGTCACTCTGGGGAGATCTAAAACATGCAGTTCATGCAAGACCACCAAAGACTTTGCATGACCTGGAGGACAACTATTACAAAAGACTGTACGCTGTCAGTGATACTAAAGGGGGCAATACACAGTATTAAGAACTAAGGGTATGAAGACTTTTGAACAGGGGTCATTTTGTTTTGTTTCTTGATTGTTATAATTTACAGTTGAATATGAATCCCCTAGGAAATGAAAGAAATGTGTTTTGCCTGCTCACTTGTGTTTTCTTTAAAAAAAATGGTACAAATTTTTACCAATTCTCCAACTGCAGACCATGCAAACTTTTGAGCACAACTGTACAAAAAAAGTTCTTGAGATTTGCAGTAATATCAAGGAAGAAGATGATTCTTCACTTTCAGTTCAAGGCCTTACCCTTTGTGAACACTTGTGGTGCCGGCGCAAGGCCAAAGATTCTGGCAGCCACTCTAAGGTTAAAAAGTATAGAGATTGTACCTTACCTGGACAACTGGTTTCTAAAGGCAGAAACAAAACAGTGTCTGAAAAGAAACCTTCAGGAGACTGTTCAGTTTTTACAGGACCACGATTGGAACACCAATTAAAAACACCAATTAAAAAAATTCAAGATCGCTGACGTTTTGGTCGCTTGGATTGTGCAGAAAATTAGGTCAGACAAAGCAAGAGTCTTGGTGATTATTTCATACTGGCCTATTCGGCCAGTTTCTCAAAAATAGAACCAGATGTCACTTATACATTGGGAACTTCTGTATTCAGAAACTATCCTGTATTTCAAGAACCTGCCAGTGGGAAGAGATCTGTAAGGTGGTGACCTTCATGGGCAGAAAGGTCGGAAGAGATCTGTAAGGTGGCGACCTTCATGGGCAGAAAGGTCGGAAGAGATCTGTAAGGTGGCAACCTTCATGGGAAGAAAGGTCTGAAGAGATCTGTAAGGTGGTGACCTTCATGGGCAGAAAGGTCGGAAGAGATCTGTAAGGTGGCGACCTTCATGGGCAGAAAGGTCGGAAGAGATCTGTAAGGTGGCAACCTTCATGGGAAGAAAGGTCGGAAGAGATCTGTAAGGTGGCGACCTTCATGGGCAGAAAGGTCGGAAAAGATCTGTAAGGTGGCAACCTTCATGGGCAAAAAGGTCGGAAGAGATCTGTAAGGTGGCGACCTTCATGGGCAGAATGTTCGGAAGAGATCTGGAAGGTGGCGACCTTCATGGGCTGAAAGGTCGGAAGAGATCTGGAAGGTGGCGACCTTCATGGGCAGAAAGGTCGGAAGAGATCTGTAAGGTGGCGAGCTTCATGGGCAGAAAGGTCGGAAGAGATCTGTAAGGTGGTGACCTTCATGAAACATTACAGGCTGGACGTCATCTCCTTTGAAGCTGCTTTTGGGCACAAGGTGCTTCAAGCGGTAGTTTATTGAAATTCCCACCCTGTACTTATATATGGGAATCTAGCTATATCCCTCTTGTCAGTATTGCAACTATGACAGGAAAACCAGAAATCTCTGTTTACCGTAAATACTTATTTCCTTAATATAGTGGCCATTCTGGTTCCCTCCCTATCTTGATTAAACAATTCATATTTGCAATGCTTGGTCTCTGTTTTTTGTTTTTTTTGTTGATATAACTGGTAGATCTTGGGGAGACGGTACTTAAGTGGTAAGAAGGCAGAAATTAATGAATTATTCATATTTGGGGAGTTGAACAAACAAGATACAATGTAATGATATGATTGCTTGAGTGGATGGGAGCGTGGAATGATTCTGAAAATTATTTAGAGAAGGAGTGGTAGAAAATTCTTTAATCCTGTGTACATTTTGGTACAACTGGGATAAAGAGTTTTTGTAAAGAAACGCCTGCTATTATTCTGTCACAAATGGAGAGGAGTAATACTTATTGATCACCTAACTATAAGGTATATTGGGTACAGTTTATATAAAATGTATTTTTTGTTTTCCGACCTTTATATTGACCACATAATCATAATATTTGTAACGTGATATGAGTACACACAGTACACAGCCTGTTTCCCTCCCCCCGCTACCTTTTTTCATTAACCACACCAACTGCTTAACACAGCCTGTCCCCCCGCTCCTTATTATTCATTAATCCACACCTACTGCGTAACACAGCCTGTCACTCTGTCCCCCCTGCTCCTTATTATTCAGTAATCCTTACCTACTGCGTAACACAGCCGTTGCTCCTTCTTATTCATTAACCACACCTACTGCGTAACACAGCCTGTCCCCCCCGCTCCTTATTATTCATTAATCCACACCTACTACGTAACGCAGCCTGCCACCCCCCGCTCATTATTCATTCATTAATCCACATTGTCACTGCAACCCCTCTCATTCCTCTCCATACTTTCATGCCTTCTCTAGTGGTAGAGTGATGTAATGACTGTGTGATCTTTGTTCCGTAGACTCTGTACACTGTGCAGGTGGATATCATCCCCCCTACAGATGCCCAGTTCTGTAAAATGGGGTCTTTGTGCTCCCTTGAGGTTTGTATTACTCGGCTTTGTGACCCATTGGAGCCTGAGAAGGAGGGGACACTCAGTGAGTGTGAGGGATACCGCAGCACTCAGCTGTTCTATCAGGGTAAGTTGTGTGTGTCAGTGCGTGTAGGGTGCCTTGACCTAGTACTAACGGGCTGTGTCTTGCAGTAGTGGATGGTGGCAGTAACTGGGCTGTCTGTGGGCGCAGTTCTGGAGTGGTATTAATGCCAGTGCAGCGGGGGTCATGTCACACTGTACGGATGGAGGTGATGCCGCTGTTTGCTGGGTTTCTTCCTTACCCTGATGTACGTCTCTTCCGATACGTGCCACACCATTCACACTCCCAACAACTGGATGCAGGTGAGTTGGGAAGTGGTAACGCCTGGCTGCAAATTGAATCAATTTTCACTTCACTAGAGGAACACTACCTTCTCATATAGTTATTCTGGACAGCTCTCCAGCTTGACTATACACAAGTTTCCTCTTTTATTTCTCCACAATTCCCAATTAGTCTATAAATCAAATAACGCTTTGCTTTGTATTCCATCTCTTTGCAGATAGTTGGGTTGAAAATGACTCTGTGTCAGTGGAGGACCCAACTGAAGCAATGAGCGGCCGAGCTCAGAGCAGCTCTCTATCCCCGGGACCCTCCGCCTCCGCGAAAGAACAAAAGGGACTACCAATGCCACGACTGCAGCCTTTCCACACTGGCCAAATTAGCAACAGCAGTATTGGACGACAGATCCTAGTTATTCCCAGTACAGATGACCATGTGCTGGAGGTCAATGTCACATGACCCAGCGCCCCCCGGGGGGCAGATTTGCTTGTATTATCGATGTACAGTTGAATGTGGGACTTAGCGGTTGTAGACTCTATTGGTCCCTCTTACCTGAAGAGCAGACACCAAAATCTGCAGGAGCGTGGTGGAGGGAAAATACTGGAATGGGTTCTGAAGCCTACTCTACAAGATGTATTTTTGGATTTTCATGTGTGGGGTTCAATATTCTGAGATCCGAGGGAGTGATGCACATCCAAGCTATTAACCCCTCTCTTGCCACAGAAAAACACAACTGTTGCATGTTCATGGGTAAAGGGCAAGGGTTCTGTGCAGCTGGCTCTCTATTTACCATGTGCTAGTTGGACTAAAGCGAAGTAAAGGCAGACATGGCCCTATTCCTTCCTCAGTATTTCAGCACTTACAGGGGTTATGTGCCCCATCACTGAATTTGTGGACAATGGTTGAGGGTCCAGGTGGGTAATGATGGGGGCAGGCAGTGAGCTCTGCCATGGATTGTACCCTCTATAGTGGACCTCTTCTCCCTGTTTACTGTGCCCGGAATCAACCTGGAAGAATGTCTTCTAACGCTACATAGATATGTGTTTAATACTTAGCAGAATAATGAGAATAATTATCATGATCTCCTCAACCTTGCATCCACACTACTCTGCTCTCTGCTGCTATTAATGGCGTGAGTCGTCCTCCGCCTGGCCCCCCGTGCTGCTCTCTCTACCCCTCACTATGTATCATAATCCAGGGCAAAACAAGGTGAAGTCTCCAGCAAGCAGGAGCTGGACAAATAAAAACCTTTTACCAGAGTCTGTGTTTATTCATTTCCGCTTTCATTAGAGCATAGATGTCAAACTTGCGGCCCGTGGCCCACAACTAATATGTTTGCAGCCCAAGGGCCGTGAGGGAGCGCTGAGTGTAAGCTCTCCCTGCACAGTATACAATCTACCAGTATGTACACAAAACCCAGTGCAGATAATAAATGAATAGGGTTATACCACCATATGTTCAAATATAGCAGGATAGTGCCTAAAACCTAAAATACAACATATTGTAAACTGTATAAAAAATATAGAATAGTAGTGTTACGGTTGCCTCCAGGCTGGCTGGAAGTTGGACCGTAGCGTTCACCAAAGGACCATCAGCACACTACAAGCACTGCAGACTCCACGACCCGCCGCTGCTGGGCTAGGATCTCGCTGTCTGCTATCCACCCTGGACCTACAACCAGGTTCCAGTAGGTGAACATCTTCCTTCTGTAGAGCGAAGCAGGATCAGGATCAAGAGCTCAGTAGCTAAGTGAGTATGAAGAGTATAGCAATCCCTGTAGTGATTATAGCTGTCCCCTACAAACATGAGTCGAGGTTGCAAGTTAGAGGGTCAAGTCATTCTGTTTTATTGGCACCAAAGGGCTTTCTTTTATGGATGTCTTACACACACAGGACCGCCCACAGGGTTTTGCAGAACAACCAATAAACACGTAACATACAGTAAAAACACACCCATCAATAACACACAAATCCTCCTCTCTGCCTGTGATATAATTACTGAACAAAATGGGTTAAAGTAATTATCACAGGCAGGAAAAATACTTTTTATACATACACTGTAACTTTAAAAATATACACCCAAGCTTCATAAAAATGACATTCAGAATCAGCATACTTTAAATATAAACATAACCAAAAATCATACAAATCCCTCAAATAGATAAAAAGTTAGACAGAAGTCCTTTATGACCGACCGCAAGCACATTTTCCTGCCCAAAACAGTTCCCTAGATTTGGGCTGTGCGGCCGGTCAATTTTATGACGAAAAATGACTAAGTCCCATTCGAATTGCTGAATGGGACTTAGTCTCTGCAGCTGAAAATTCAGTGTAGGAGAAGGTAAGGGTCAGCGGTGTTCGTTGAAATGTGTAGCCGATTTCAGTTCCATGAATTTGGCTACACCTACCGCTGACCTCGTTCGAATGAACAAAGATGGACACAGCCACGTGTTCGTTTGCACGAACTGTGGCCACCCAGCGGTCGGCAATTTACCTACAGCAATCCCCCAGCCTGGGAGGTAAATTGCCTGCACACTTCCACTTCTGGGTGGTCTGCCTGTGTGGTGCTTGGTTCAGTAAGCCCCATTTACTGAACCAAGTGGAAAATAGCCAGGAACAAAGGATTTTAATCAAATCGGGGGGACACAGGCTTAAAAGGGCAGTGTCCCAAACAAGTCTGGGGACACTGTCTTAGAGGGGCATTGTCCCAATTTTCCCTATGTCCCAAAAATGTGCTTAAAGGGCCAGCACTAGTCCCATAAAAGTCCATAAGCCCCAATATGCTCACAGACTGTTCTTAAATGGCCATACACATCAGGGCCATAGTCATTAGGAAGGAGGCTGGCAATAAGACTTCTCCAGAATACAGGGAAGCAGGGCAATTTGTCATTTAAAGAGACAGTTTCAAAAGGCATTTTGTAACAAGTAGTAAGACAGGACTACCACTCACACTTTCCAGAGCCATAGCAGGCTCAGGGATGCCAATACTGGCTAACGATCCCAATTTCAATGATGTAAGGTGGACTTGGAATAGGTTAAAAAACAATTTATTGAAAATATAATGTATAAAAAAAAGTTTAAAAAAAAAACTTATGACTATGGGGGTGGAACCCAGCATAAAACACAATATAGTAACAAAGCCAGAGATCCACTCACCCCTATGGTAAGTCACCCACAAGTCAGTATGAAATAAACAGAGATAAAACCTATGTCAGCAGACGTGTTACGGCGATCAGCCTTCTTTAAGTGCTGTTTTCCAAGTCCTCCTGCCCTTTTAAGTGCTCCCTCTTACTCACTCATCTGTACATAGTCTTTTGATTGCTGGCATGTCACTTCCGGTTTCCGCTAGTGACGTCACTTATGTTTTCTATGCGCTGGAACGCAATCTCCTGTATATAGATCCGGCCGTTCGTATATAGCAGATAAGTCTGCTTATATCTCAGTCTCTCCAGAGCCAGAGAGACTGAAGTAGTCCATTCACAATAAGAAAAAGTGTTAAATCCAAACAATCTCATTAGGGAAATTAAAAAAACAAAACAGAAAATTCATCTGCAAAATAAAAAAAATATGATAATGATATAAACATTGTAGCGGAGAGCTAGTATTTCATAGCCTACCTCCACTTGTAGATCCCAGTGAGGCTCAGGAATAAGTAGTTATAAATCCATGGGCAAGGTATCCAGCAGGTAAAACAATACAGTAGTATCCCAACAGCACTCCCAATAATCATTAACATAATAGCCAATCCTGTTCGGGTAACCTCCCACACATCCCCTCCCCTCAGCCTGCATCATAATCCCCTTACCTAGGACACCAATTCCCCCCGTTTCTGGATGTACCCCTAAACCTAGGGGTACCACTTTAAATTATACATCCCCCGGTAGCTCTGATCTGGGTGAACAACATATCCAAAATTCACGCAGATCAGACCAGGGGCTCGGGAAATTCATGGAGGGAATAGAATGACCGACCGTACGGGAAGAAATAGCCGAATTGGGTCCATGCGATGGGGCCCTGCGGTCGGTCTTGGAAAAAGGGAATGAATTACACGAAAGCCTCTAGCTGGGGAGGGTTCGCCTGAATCCCCTCGTTCGGTTGTTTGTCTACCGAACGAGGGGCTGTTCGGTAGTTTGGAACCGAATGGACCGGGCTGGTGGAGGTCTCAGCGATGTTCGCCTAGTCGAGTGTCCGTTTTGAGTTCCAGATACTCGACGGCAAAACACCGCTGTTCGGGAGTTTTAAAATGGCCGCCGCCACGTGTTCGTTTCCCGAATGGCGGCCACCCCCGAGAACAAAGGATTACTATACAGCTTGTCAATTACCCGTTCGCAACAATGTTGCAACGGGTAATTGAAGGCACACTTCACACCGGGGAGGTCTGACTGTTCGGTAGTTTCATTCCCTTATTTGTTAGAATGATTCTACCGCACAATCAGACGAATACATCACATTAATACACATATACTTTGCAATTAGACGAATACAGTATAAACTAACACAAGTCCCAGGACAGCCCAGTGCCATTCGCTACAAACATATTATACAAAAGAGGAATTTCTCAATATTAAGACGTAAACCCATTGTAGCTATGTCTGTCAATATAAAATTAGATATACAAATGTAAAATAAACAAATCAAAGACTATGTCATTACATGCATATACCTAGGAATCCAAAGAGCTGGTATAAAGGGGGAGAGAGGCAATAATTTGAAAAAAAAACTAATATTTCCATCAAAACATACTCGTTATAAAAAATGAACAAATTCAAAGTCACGATTCAATCCATTGGGAGATGGGCATCTCTTAGCCAGCTCTTTTGTATTATCTTCCCCTCTCCAATTTTTGTGTCTTTTAAAAATAACCATATATGACAACAATGTTGAATCACCCCTGAGCTTCTCAACAAAATGTGCAGAAATAGTGTTTCATATATCCCCTCTGGATATTTCCAATATGTTCCACAATCCTAGCTTTGAATTCCCTAGTTGTCATAGCAATATATTGGAGACCACAGGGGCACCAGAGGAGGTATATGACCTTTGTAGACTGACACGTGAGAATTTGGTGAATCTTAAAATTTCTATTAGTGGAGTATGAGGTAAAATTAGTAGTTTTCTGGAAATTGAGATCGTTAGCCAGTATTGGCACCCCTGAGCCTGCTATACAGAGCCTGGTACGGCTCTGGGAAACGTGAGTGGTAGTCCTGTATCTTACTACTATTCTATATTTTTTATACAATTTACACTATGTTGTATTTTATGTATTTGGCACTATCCTGCTATATTTGAACATACGGTGGTATTACCCTATTCATTTATTATCTGCACTGGGTTTTGTGTACATACTGGTATATTGTATATATTGTATTTCTGTATTTGGTGTTACTGGGAAGCACCACAATATCAGTTATACTACCCACTGACTTATTAAGAATATATAAGAAAGCGCCAACCCACAATATTTATTTACATTGGTCTCCCTGCGCAGTGATGCCGGGAGCCGGAATATGACATCACTCTGGCTCCCGGCATTACTCTGCGGCGCTCGAGGGAGCTGAGCAGAGAGAGCTCAAAATCAATGCTCCCTCACTGCCTGTCCGCCCTCTTGCCTGCCTAAATGTACACCTGCCCAGCAGCCCCACTAGACACCAGGTAATAAATCCACCCAGCTCTCCTGAAGGTAGGGCACTGGGTGGATTTAAATTAAAATAATTTTAAAAACAGTGTTGGGGGAAATGGGTGCATGGCTGTCTGTCTGTGTGTTTTGGGTGTATGGCTGTCTGTCTGTGTGTTTTGGGTGTATGGCTGTCTGGCTGTGTGTGTTTGGGTGTATGGCTGTGTGTGTTTGGGTGTATGGCTGGCTGGCTGTGTGTTTTGGGTGTATGGCTGGCTGGCTGTGTGGGAGCCTGTTTGTCAGTTCGTGTGTCTGTCAGTGAATGTGTCTGTTAGAGTGATACTGTGTCTGTCTGTCTGTCAGTGAGTGTGAGTGAGAACAGGGGCAGAGGTTTAGTAGACAAGGGGGGGACTAAAATTTAGTAGACGGGGGCGACTGGGGTTTAGTAGAAGGGGATGCTGTTTTTTTTTATTATACTGTACTTTCCAAATAAACCTATGTTTCTACATAAATGTACATTTTTGTTTTTTTGCTGCCCACATGAACTTAAACCTTGTTTATTTGGCCTTTGCTAGCCTTTGAGTTTGACATGCTTGCTTTGGAGGGAGAAACCCCTCACCGCTGTTACGGTGTTGTTGTCCCCATTTAAATGGTTTAGGTCTTTACCGCGGCACAGAATGCTGTAACGCTTTTCAGCCCCTGTGCACATATATTTACCCACCTCGCCGATCCGTTTCGGGGGGGACGGGGACTGTCTGACAACCCAGTCTGTCCCTCTCCGGCACACATCTCAAATTGGAAAACAAATTATCATACACCATGGCCTGCTCTGTTGCTGTAATTTACTGCTGAGTGCTGGTGCCCTCATATCCCCACCTCACTAAATTCTAAAGTATCCCATTCAATATATGGCCAAACAAAAATTATGTCCAAACTCCTATTCCTTATGTTACTTGCCCTTGCAAATGATGTAGAGTCTAACCCTGGTCCCCCAGCTAATTCTAGTCCTAATCTCCCCACGAAAAAAGGCCTCTCTTTTGTGCACTGCAACATCCGTAGTTTACTCCCTAAACTGGATGCACTGCAAGCCTGGTGTTCCCATTAGAAAACAAAAATAATTGTGCTCTCAGAATCATGGTTAACGACTAAAATACCAGACACCGCTATTGCAATACAGGGTTATTTATGTTTTAGAAATCACAGAGCAAAGAGAGGAGGAGGCATTGTTATTTATGTTGACCGTTCCATAAGGTTCACCCCCTTACAAAACCTTAGTCCTCCTGCCACCTTTGATTTCCTTTTTTGCACAATTGAGATCCCATGCAATAAATCAATCATTATTGCAGGAATCAACCGCCCACCTAGCTCCCCAGTGCATTCCCTTTCTGACATAGCCTGTTACGGTACCTCCAGTAATAAATGTACAAACCGCCGTTTAGTGAATTCTCCCCGTTCGCAATAATGTGGTCTGGTAGCGTATACAGTATAACCATGCGAACCGCCAGCTAGGGAACACTCCAAACTCCCGAACGGTACCTGTACGGCTCTTTCCCTTCACGAGCTCCAAATCCACGAACTGCCAATATTAGCCGAATGCCAATATCTTCCAAGCGGCAAGTAATTCCAATAAGCAGTCTCTAGGCGCCGGTAATAAAATCCCCCCAATAACGAGACCAAGCTCCGCTTTGAGGGTAAAACACGAACTGATTTACTGTGGGCTACCTGCCCGGTATTTATGCAGGTCTCCCACTTGGTCCCTAGGGGACCAAATGGGAGACTGTAATAGCAGAAGGACATGGGGACATTTTAGACATACATCCCCACAATATTCCCAGCATGCATCACAGTTCCCTCCCCTCTGCTCGGGAGATAATTGGGAAGTAATTCAATTATCTCCCCGAGCAGAGGCAAATCGCCATTTTAACTCAAAGTTATAAAACACATTAAAATACATAACTTTCTAATTGCCGAACATATTGCATTCGTGTAACACATCCCCAGATAGCCTGGATCTGAGTGCATATTATTGGCGAATAGCGCTCAGATCCCATTCGCATAGTTCAATCGCCATGGAGTCAAAGTCTATTACAGTTCTACGGTATGCGATTGACTCCATGGGAAGGCTATCTGGGTTAAGTCCATTCGTGTTGTTGAATCACCCGAACGGCCGGCATTCGTATGCTTTTGTCGATTGAGAAGGGGAGGTCGACGGCTTCAGCGGTGTTCGGTTGAAAAAGTGTCCGTTTTCAGTTCCATGAAATAACCGTCGAACACCGCTGGTCTTTCGCATGGTTAAAATGGCCGCCGCCTCGTGGTCGACATACGAACGACGACCACCCGGTATTCGGTTTTAATTGAGAAGTGTCTGTGGTTAACCGCAATGTTCTAATTGGGATCAATAAGTTAACCAGCAGCACACTTCTCTTCTGGGTGGCCGTCCGTTCGGTAGTTCCGTTCGACAAAAAAAAGACATTCCCTTAAACAAAGCATACGAATGGGGGAATTCATGCAAACGGCAAAACAGACGAACACAGTGCTTTTAGTCCATACAGATGGGTCTGTCACACGGCTCCCCCCTTGTGGAACACTCCGGCAGACCCGGCTTGACCCTTTGGCGGGTCAACTTGGGGATGACCGGACTGGGAACGAGTAGGGACGTCTGTTTGCCGGGATAACCCATCTGCATTCCCGTTCTGCTTACCGGGTCAGTAGCTGATGGTGAAGTTATAAGGCTGCAGTGCCAAACTCCACCTCAGCAGTCTGCCATTGTCTCCTGAGACCCGGTTAAGCCAGACAAGGGGATTGTGATCCGTTATAAGTGAAAACTCCTGCCCGTACAAATAAGGGCTCAACTTCTTCAGTGCCCAGACCAGGGCTAAACACTCTTTCTCCACTGCCGCATAACTCACTTCCCGAGGTAGTAACTTTCTGCTTAGGTATGCGATAGGGTGCTCTCCTCCTTTTTCCCCGACCTGGCTCAGCACAGCCCCCAGTCCATACATGGAAGCATCTGTATGAATGAGAAAACGTTTGTTAGGGACTGGGGCAGCCAGGTCAGGGGCATTCACAAGAGCTTGCTTCAATGCCTGAAACGCGGCTTCACAAGCTGGAGACCACAGGACCTGCTTAGGTAAATTCTTCTTAGTCAGGTCAGTCAAGGGCTTGGCAACCGTACTGTAGTCGGGGACAAAACGTCGGTAGTACCCTGCCGTCCCCAGGAAGGCCAGCACTTGGGTCTTGGTGATAGGTGTGGGCCAGTTAGCTACAGCCTCTACCTTGGCTGGCTCCGGTCTCTGGCTTCCACATCCTACTCTGTGACCCAAGTACTGCACTTCTGCCATGCCTAGATGGCACTTGTCTGGCTTCAAGGTCAGGCCTGCGGCCCGAATCTTGTCCAGCACCACCCCCACGTGTACTAAATGATCTTCCCAGGACTCACTGTAGACCGCAATGTCATCCAGGTATGCACATGCAAATTCCTGGAAGCCATCGAGGAGCCTATCCACCATACGCTGGAAAGTTGCTGGAGCATTCTTCATCCCAAATGGCATAACCTTAAACTGGTACAGGCCAAATGGGGTAACGAAGGCCGACTTAGGGATAGCATCCTCGGCCAGGAGGATCTGCCAATAACCTTTACACAGGTCAGTGGTGGTCAGGTAGCGCCCCCTGGCAATGCGGTCTAATAATTAGTCTACCCGGGGCATAGGGTAGGCGTCAGTGGTGGTCCGCTCGTTGAGCCGCCTGTAGTCCACACAGAACCAGGTGGTCCCATCTTTCTTAGGCATCAGAACTACAGGCGAGGCCCAAGGGCTGTCTGAGTGTTCGATAACCCCCAGCCTGGTCATCTCCTTTATCTCCTTCCGCATTCCTTCTCGGACTGCTTCAGGGATACGGTATGGGGGTTGTCGTAGGGGGTTCTGTCCGGGTGTCTCGACCTTGTGCACAGCTAGGGTAGTGTACCCGGGTTCTTGGGGGAACGTCGCCTTCTCTGCCTGTACCTTCTCTGCCGGGTTTAGCCGGTCCCCTAGCTGCACAAGACTAGTAAGGTCTGTCTGGGGATCCCTCTCTAACAACTCGGGTAAGGGTAAATTCTCAGGGTCATCAGTAGCTGGGGCACATACTGCCGCAACATCCTCTGGTCTCTCCTGATACTCCTTCAGCATGTTCACATGGAAGGATCGCTGAATCCTTTCATCTGAACAGCTGGCTATAAGGTAGGTAGTATCACAACCTGAGCTAACACTTTATACGGGCCCTGCCAAGATGCTTGCATCTTGTTCGTCTTCACAGGCTTGAGCACCAGAACCTTCTGCCCAACCTGGAAGACCCGCTGTCGGGCACCCCGATCGTACCACCGCTTCTGTCTCCCCTGGGCCGCCTGGAGATTCTCCCTTACCATCAGGGATAGTTTCTCCATGCGGTCCCGGAGTTCCAGGACATATGGTACTATGGGGGTCCCTTCTTGCTCTGTCTCCCCCTCCCAGTGTCCTCTAATGAGATCTAGGGGTCCACGGACCCTTCTCCCATAGAGTAACTCAAAGGGAGAGAACCCAGTAGATTCCTGGGGCACCTCTCTGTATGCAAATAGCAGATGAGGCAGGAATCGCTCCCAGTCTCTGCAAGTGTCAGTAAAGGTCCTCAACATCTGTTTGAGGGTGCCATTAAATCGCCGCAGAGACCGTTAGTCTGTGGGTGATAAGGTGAGCTAAGCAGAGGTTTAATACCGCACACCTTCCACAGCTGCTGGGTAAGCACAGCTGTGAACTGAGTTCCCTGATCGGAGAGAATCTCCTGAGGGAACCCGACCCTAGTGAAAATTTTAACCAGGGCATCAGCAACCGTCTCTGCCTCTATATTAGACAGTGCTACTGCCTCTGGATAACGTGTGGCATAGTCCACCATGGTAAGAATGTATTTCTTACCTGATGGGCTAGCCCTTGCCAGTGGACCCACAATGTCAACGGCTATGCGGGAAAAGGGTTCTCCAATGATAGGCATCGACTGAAGCCTAGCTTTTGGGTGATCCCCCCGTTTAACTACCCGTTGACAGGTGTCACACGTGCTACAATAAACCCGCACATCTCGGTTAAAATTGGGCCAGAAGAAGTTTTGTGTGATCCTATGAGCTGTGCGGCGGGAACCTGGATGGCCCGCTAACGGCACATCATGCCCAATCCGCAGAATCTCCTGCCGGTATTTTGCAGGTACCACTAGCTGTCGATTCTGCGGAGAGGTACTCGGTTTTTGGGGCGGTTTCGGGATCCTTTATAGTCTATCCCCCACCCACTCGTAGTGCTCCCCATCTACTCCTTCTCCCCCAGAATCGGCCCTGGCCATGTACTTCGCTAGCGTCGGGTCTTCCCTGGTTTCCTTCCCGTACATCTCTGGGGTATCCCAGCCTAAAGGTGCCTGGTCTAAGGTACAAGTCGGGGTAGAGAGTCTTACCTGGGTCTCAGCAGCAGGTGGGCCGGTCTCGGCGGCACGGGTCGTGACAGCATCCACTTCAGCGGGACCCATGGGAGCGAAGGCTGAAACAAGGGGCGCCAAGTCATTGCCAAGGAGGACATCCGCTGGTAAGTCCTTCATGACCCCCACATTCACATGTCTAGCGCCCACTCCCCAATCCAAATGTACCCAGGCAACGGGTAGGCGAAACACGGCACCCATGGCTACTCGCACTGCAACTGTGTCCCCGGTATGTTGGGCTTCGGATACCAGGTGCTTCTGGAGTAAAGTCATGGTTGCCCCGGTATCCCGTAGACCACTGACCTCCTTCCCGTTTACTTTTACACACTGCCTGTGGTGCTGTCTGTTATCCCGGTGGGCAGCCTGAACGGGGTCTGCCTCATGCAGGATGCCCCAGCACTCCTCTTCCTCTACACAGTGAGCGGCTGGGAGGGGAGGTCGTGGATTGCCGCCGGCTGGTCTCCTCCAGGACTGGTTCTGGTTGGCGCTGTTCATCGGGCACTCTGGTCGCTTGTGCCATAGCTGCTTGCACAGGTAGCACCGAATGGGTTGTGCGTACTCCCGTGAATTAAACCGGGGTGGCTGTTGATACTGGGCAGATGGAGGGGGTGCTGATGGATGATTCATTGGAGGCTGATATATGTTAGCTGCTGTTGGTGCTGCTGGCCTGTACTCCACTCTGGCGGGAGCCTTGCTGATGAGACTGTCCAGTTTGCGGGCATCGGTATACTCATCCGCCAGGCGAGCTGCTTCGTGCAGAGTGGAGGGTTTACGGTCCCTTACCCACTCTCTGACCCCTGCTGGCAATTTATCAAAGCAATGTTCCAAAAGAAACATCTGCAGCACCTCTTCTCCGGACACAGCCTGGCACCCCGCCATCCAGTGGGCGGCTGTCTCGGTGCACCTTACATGCCCATTCAACATACGAGTCCCCAGATGTCTTGACAGTGTCTCGGAACCTCCTCCGGTATGCCTCGGGTGTAACGGCATACCGGGAGAGTAATGCTTCCCTGATGGCCACATAATCCCCAATCTCCTCATCAGGGATGGCCCGAAAAGCCTCGCTGGCCAGGCCGGATAACTTGCCAGACAATATAGTAACCCAGTCTTCCAGGGGTACCTTGTGCAGGGCACATTGCCGCTCAAAATCAGCAAGGTACCCATCAATCTCTCCTTCTGTCTCACTGAAGGCTTTAAACGCAGTAAACGACACCTTCTTTCTTTCTCCCAGGTTTGGTGTGACTGGGGCTGCTGCAGCACCGCTTTGGCGGAGCAGGTTGGCCTCCACAGCGGCCATGACCTGGGTGATGACCTCTGCAGATGGGTTGGGACCATAATGTGCCAGCCTGATTCTTACCGCCCGGTCAAAGCTTGCCTCCTCGGGGGTTCTGTCAGCTGTGCTGGGTCCATTGGTTCCCTCTGCCGCTGGTACTCCATCCATTTCCAGCAATAACGCAATAATATCCCTCTTCCTGAGGTTACTGGCTTGTCCGCCTCTTTGCTCTAATAAATCCTTTAGGGTAGCTCTTCTCAGGTTCTGGTATTGTAATTCCATTTAGTCCTGGTTGTAGTGGTCTCATCCCGTCGCTTGCCACCAGTTGTTACGGTACCTCCAGTAATAAATGTACAAACCGCCGTTTAGTGAATGCTCCCCGTTCGCAATAATGTGGTCTGGTAGCGTGTACAGTATAATCATGCGAACCGCCAGCTAGGGAACACTCCAAACTCCCGAACGGTACCTGTACGGCTCTTTCCCTTCACGAGCTCCAAATCCACGAACTGCCAATATTAGCCGAACGCCAATATCTTCCAAGCGGCAAGTAATTCCAATAAGCAGTCTCTAGGCGCCGGTAATAAAATCCCCACAATAACGAGACCAAGCTCCGCTTTGAGGGTAAAACACGAACTGATTTACTGTGGGCTACCTGCCTGGTATTTATGCAGGTCTCCCACTTGGTGGACACTCCCCTAGGGGACCAAATGGGAGACTGTAATAGCAGAAGGACATGGGGACATTTTAGACATACATCCCCACAATATTCCCAGCATGCATCACAGTTCCCTCCCCTCTGCTCGGGAGATAATTGGGAAGTAATTCAATTATCTCCCTGAGCAGAGGCAAATCGCCATTTTAACTCAAAGTTATAAAACACATTAAAATACATAACTTTCTAATTGTCAAACATATTGCATTCGTGTAACACATCCCCAGATAGCCTGGATCTGAGTGCATATTATTGGCAAATAGCGCTCAGATCCCATTCGCATAGTTTAATCGCCATGGAGTCAAAGTCTATTACAGTTCTTCGGTATGCGATTGACTCCATGGGAAGGCTATCTGGGTTAAGTCCATTTGTGTTGTTGAATCTCCCGAACGGCCGGCATTCGTATGCTTTTGTCGATTGAGAAGGGGAGGTTGACGGCTTCAGCGGTGTTCGGTTGAAAAAGTGTCCGTTTTCAGTTCCATGAAATAACTGTCGAACACTGCTGGTCTTTCGCATGGTTAAAATGGCCGCCGCCTCGTGCTCGACATACGAACGACGACCACCCGGTATTCGGTTTTAATTGAGAAGTGTCTGTGGCTAACCGCAACGCTCTAATTGGGATCAATAGGTTAACCAGCAGCACACTTCTCTTCTGGGTGGCCGTCCGTTCAGTAGTTCCGTTCGACAAAAAAAGACATTCCCTTAAACAAAGCATACGAATGGGGGAATTCATGCAAACGACAAAACAGACGAACACAGTGCTTTTAGTCCATACAGATGGGTCTGTCACATAGCCCATCTCCTTAGTGAAACCATAGCTCAAAACCCAAAAAGTGAACTGTTGGTCTTTGGAGATTTTAAATTTTGATTGGCTAAATCCTAAAAATAATAGTTCTTGCACGCTGTTTAAGACTTTACAAGTAATGCAATTAATCTCCTCCCCAACTCGCATAAACATTAAAAGCCAAAACCATACCCTGCTCGATTGGATTCTCTCCACTTCTCCTGATAGAATCCAGGAGGCAGGTGTTCTCCATAACAGTTTCAGCGATCACTGTTTAGTGTATTTCGTGTACTTCCGAGGTTAAAATCACCAGGTCTTTCAAAAAATGTAATCGTGAATCCTTTCTTAATGACATCAAGAAACTCCCATGGCACAGATTAAACATTATCCCAGATCTAGACTGTGCAGTTGAATTCTTTGTCTGAACTCCTACAAATTTGGAATTTGCATGCCCTGCTGCGTAAGGTGAGAGTAAAAGGAGCACATATGAACTGGATCACAGCTGACCTCATCAAATGTACCAGTTTCGGGATTCTTTGTGGTCAAAGTTCAAGCATACTGTGTGGCAAACCTAGCCACTTATAGACTTACACCGTATATTCAAGCCAACTGTATATTCCTGCTACTGTTAATTTTATTGTGCAATGTATGTGGCATTTGTTTGTTACAGCACACGAATACCGCTGATGTTAAGTCTGGTTATCCACGAACAGTGAATCACCGCACTGTTCGTGGAATAAGCAAAGTACTGAATGAGAGACCACCCACAGCCGTTCGTGTGTCTCCCATTAAGTACTTTGCAACATTGTATCTCTGTTAATTGCGGTCTGTTATAGGTGACTGCCATTCGTGTACCGAACACGAGGCGGTGGCCATCTTTGTTTGCGGAAAACCAGCTGGGTTTTTGTCGTCGAGTGCCTGGAACTAAAATCGGCTACTCGGCAACACAAGCCCCGCTGGACTTCCGAGCCGTTCGGGAGTTTGCCGCTTTCGGGACTTTCATTCCCTCTGTTCAGGCAATCGGTTAAACGAATTGAAACTGAACCGCATTCGGTTATTTGTGCTGGGATCTGAGCGCAAGTTCCCTTAACTGTGTGCCCAGGTCCCAGCTATGCAATAAATGGTTAAATAGCTGTCTAGCACAAATATTATGTGGGTTATGGATTTTAAAATGAAAACTGTATTTCTCTGTACTTGGTACAGCAATGTATGCTGGGTACTCTGGCTGTAAAACTAAGTCCCCCATGTAGTCCCCTACTGGACAAACCCTGCATTGTGACTTGGGAAACCCCATACAATTGTAACCACATAAATACTGTGCCTGTGATTAAAAACCTCAGTTGACCTCCAAGCTATGTGTCGTCTAGTTCTTGGGAGGAAAGGATTATTACTACGCTACCTGTGTTTTACCTGCTTATCCTGACTACCAGCAGAGATATCGTGGATTAACTACTACTCCGCTACAATTGGTGGCAGCGGTGGGATTCAAACCGCACAGCAAAGCAGCGTTCGGCAGTATTTATGCAAACAGAGAAAAAGGAAACAGCAATTCGTGAAACAACCATTCGAATGAAACCGGAGTTCGGGAGTAAGAGGAATTATACGAACAGTCGGTGAATGGAAACGAATTATACACTGTTGAAACGGAATACGTTAAAGGAACTACTGGAGGCAAGGGGAATCATAGCCAGTAACAAGAACAAGGTTACACTTATTTTGGAACTCATGGAGGGAGACAGAGCAGCTGCTGCAGCACCTCAACTGGAAGCAGATCAGACGGAGTTTGGAATCGAACTCAGGAGCAGATTGGCATTTTTACCTGAACCCCATCCCAAACCACAGTAGAAAGAATCATGGCAGATGTACAGGAGTACATACTGGCCCAACAACAAGCTACCCGGCAACCACGAGAAAGATCACCAGCTCCATCTAACCTTTTCCAGGGAAAAGCTAAAATCCCCTACCAGGCCTTCAAAAATTATACGGAAGCAGATGGAGAGGTAGATGTTTACCTACAGGACTTTGAAAGGCTGTGCCAGTTGCATGGCATCAGTCCAGCAGACCAGGTACCCCTGCTAGCAGGTATGCTATCGGGCCGCGCAGCAGAGGCATACCGCGCAGTCCCAGACAAGGACAGCAGAGACTACCAGAAGGTCAAACAGGCCATCCTAGCCCGATATACCATCACATCCAAAGCCTACCGAATTAAATTCAGAGGCATTAAGAAACAGGCGAAGGATTCGCATGTCGAATGGGCACACCGGTTACAACGAGCCGCTAAAGGATGGATTGAAGCGACGCAGGTCACAACTCTAGAAGACCTGTTCCAATTCGTTGTACTAGAACAGTTCTTTGACAGGCTAACCACAGAACTGCAAAATTGGATCTGAGACCGAAAACCTCGTCAAGCTGGCAGACGAGTTTCAAGATACCAGGCGAGAGCAACGACCGCAACCATGGGCCACCCCTGGATATATATCCGGTCCACAAGCAGTACCCCCTACAGTACATTCACATCCAGGGGTAAGCAACCACTCATACCCTCCCCGGTATAATAACTGGCCACCCATCCAATGTCATACCTGCAACCAGAGTTTCAAGATACCAGGCGAGAGCAATGACCGCAACCATGGGCCACCCCTGGATATATATCCGGTCCACAAGCAGTACCCCCTACAGTACTGCTTGTGGTATAATAACCGGCCACCCATCCAACCAGCAGGCACCTTCTTTCTTTCTCCCAGGTTTGCTGTGACTGGGGCTGCTGCAGCACCGCTTTGGCGAAGCAGGTTGGCCTCCACAGCGGCCATGACCTGGGTGATGACCTCTGCAGATGGATTGGGACCATAATGTGCCAGCCTGATTCTTACCGCCCGGTCAAAGCTTGCCTCCTCGGGGGTTCTGTCAGCTGTGCTGGGTCCATTGGTTCCCTCTGCCGCTGGTACTCCATCCATTTCCAGCAATAACGCAATAATATCCCTCTTCCTGAGGTTACTGGCTTGTCCGCCTCTTTGCTCTAATAAATCCTTTAGGGTAGCTCTTCTCAGGCACATGCAGAGAGACTGCCCAAGAAACCGGCCTTGACCCAACTGGCATAACCCGGGCCCACCACCTCCTAGCAGAGCTGCAGTACATTGTTACCAAAAAGAGCCCACCGTGGAAGAAGCCCTGGGAACACTACACGAGGTGAACCCCATCCAGGCTGCCTCCGACAATCGACAGGGGCATCGCCAAGTCGTACACATGGAGGGGAAAAGTATGCTAAGCATTGGCTCACGCAGAACTTTTTTTGGCCAAGTATTTCCAGTGACATCCGACAATACTGTAAAATCTGTGATATCTGTCAGAGGGTAGGTAAGAGAGGGGCCGCTATAAAGCTGAACTCCATTCCTTACCCATAATAGAAGAACCTTTTAGTAGGGTGGGGTAGACATAATAGGACCATTAGCAAAGCTCAGTCCCTCCGGCAAGAAGTATATTTTGACCGTAGTGGACTACGCCACTAGATATCCCGAAGCGGTGGCCCTGACTAATGTACATGCCGAGACCGTAGCAGATGTATTCCATTCTCTCGCATGGGATTTCCCTGAGAGATCATTTCAGATAGGGGCACCCAATTCACTGCAGAAGTCACCCACCAGCTTTGGAAAATCTGTGGGGTAAAATCTAGACTTAACTCACCCTACCACCCTCAGTCCAACGGTCTCTGTGAACGGTTTAACACTGAAACAAATGATCCGTACGTTCATAGACACGCAGAAGGACTGGGAACGGTTTTTACCCCACTTACTCTTCGCATATAGAGAAGTACCTCAAGAATCCACGGGGTTCTCTCCTTTTTAATTATTATTTGGAAGGAAGGTGAGGGGAGCCCTCGATCTAATCCGGGAACACTGGGAGGGGGAAGTAACAACTAATGGCACCCCTATTGTACCATATGTGCTGGAGTTCCGGGAACGCTTGGAGGCTTTGACCCAGACCGTACGCACCAACCTCCAGGCGGCCCAGCAACGACAGCGCAGATGGTATGATAGAGAAGCCAGGGACCGCAACTTGTAGATCGGGCAGAAGGTGTTAATCCTACGACCGGTCAAGAATGACAAGCTGCAGGCCTCCTGGCAAGGCCCATACAAGGTGGTAGAGCAAATCTGCGATACCACCTATGTGATCGGCCCATGCGCCGGGGCAGGGGGCAGATGCATGCTCCACGTGAACATGTTCAAGCCCTACCACAAGCGCACAGAAGAAGTGTCCGCTATCTGCGCCTCGGTCGCAGAGGATTTCGATAATTTACCGCTACCAGACCTACTAGAGAAAGAGAAGCAGAACGAAGATCTGGAAGCCGTACAGCTAGGGGAACGTTAGCGGACTCAGGCTCAAAGTTTAATTAGGGAAAAAGGGGACACCTTTTCTAATCTCCCGGGGTACACCCCGTTAGCTACCCACCAAGTAGAGACCCCAGGACAGACACCCCTCCGCCAACCTCCTTACCGCATACCCGAATTGGTAAAAGAGAAGATGCGTAAGGAGATTGAGGAAATGTTACAGTTGAGGATAATCGAACATTCAGATAGTCCCTGGGCATCCCCAGTAGTTCTGGTACCAAAGAAGGATGGAACTACCCGTTTCTGTGTGGATTACCGGAGGCTTTATGATAAGACCGTCTCGGACGCATACCCCATGCCCCGAATCGACGAACTCCTAGACAAAATGGCAAGGGGCCAGTACCCCATGCCCCGAATCGATGAACTCCTAGACAAAATGGCAAGGGGCCAGTACTATAGACCCCTGTAAGGGGTATTGGCAAATTCCCCTAGCCGAAGACGCCATTCCAAAGTCGGCGTTTGTCACCCCGTTTGGCCTATACCAGTTTAAGGTCATGCCATTCGGGATGAAAAACGCTCCGGCTACCTTCCAGAGGATGGTAGATAGGTTATTAGATGGGTTTCAGGAGTATGCTTGCGCCTATTTAGATGATAAAGCGATATTCAGCTACTCCTGGCCCGAACACTTGACCCACGTAGGGGCAGTATTAGACCGCATTAGGGAGGCAGGGTTGACTCTTAAACCCAGAAAATACCATATTGGAATGGCAGAAGTACAGTATCTAGAACACCGGGTGGGAAGCGGCAAGCAAAAGCCAGAACCCGCCAAGATAGAGGCCGTAGCTAAATGGCCAACCCCCCAGACCAAAACCCAGGTCCTAGCCTTCTTAGGTACCACAGGATACTATCGGAAATTTGTGCCCAATTACAGCGCCCTGGCCAAGCCCCTCACCGACTTAACCCGCAAGAAACCCGCAAGAAAAAGTTAGTAGCCTGGGCCCCAGAGTGTGAACAGGCATTCCAACAACTAAAAACTGCTCTCATTAATGCACCTGTACTTGCTGCTCCTGATCCAACTAAACGCTTTCTCGTCCACACAGACGTTTCTATGTTTGGATTGGGAGCAGTGCTGAGCCAAGTCGGAGTAGATGGTGGCGAGCATCCCGTAGCTAAATGGTGACACCGACGGGTTATCCAGACAAACTGAACTTGAAAAGTGATCTGTGAGTACCCCTCCGGACATCCCCCAAGCCGATCCATTGGGATCAGACTGTGTATGCCGGCTTGTTTCTTGGGGAGCATTGTGGCAAACCTAGCCACTTATAGACTTACACCGTATATTCAAGCCAACTGCTACTGTTAATTTTATTGTGCAATGTATGTGGCATTTGTTTGTTACTGCTTAACATCTGAAGGTTGTCTGTAAAAAGCTGCTTTCATTCTGTGTATGTATGTATTCGTGTATCTCTGTAATAGAGAACATTCGTATACTAACAGCCAAAGCTGCTAGCATTCATTTGGTAGTTTCACGAACAGTGACTTTACACACTGTTCGTGAAACGAATAAAGTACCGAATGGGAGCCCACACACAGAGGGTCGTGTGGCTCCCATTAACATAGAAACATAGAATGTGACGCCATCTAGTCTGCCTAATTTTCTAAATACTTTCATTAGTCCCTAGTCTGGTCTTATTGTTAGGATAGCCTTATGCCTATCCCACACATGCTTAAACTCCTTTACTGTGTTAACCTCTACCACTTCAGCTGGAAGGCTATTCCATGCATCCACTACCCTCTCAGTAAAGTAATACTTCCTGATATTATTTTTAAACCTTTGTCCCTCTAATTTAAGACTATGTCCTCTTGTTGTGGTAGTTTTTCTTCTTTTAAATATAGTCTCCTCCTTTACTGTGTTGATTCCCTTTATATATTTAAATGTTTCTATCATATCCCCCCTGTCTCGTCTTTCCTCCAAGCTATACATGTTAAGATCCTTTAACCTTTCCTGGTAAGTTTTATCCCGCAATCCATGAACCAGTTTAGTAGCCCTTCTCTGAACCCTCTCTAAGGTATCAATATCCTTCTGAAGATACGGTCTCCAGTACTGTGTACAATACTCCAAGTGAGGTCTCACCAGTGTTCTGTACAATGGCATGAGCACTTCCCTCTTTCTACTGCTAATACCTCTCCCTATACAACCAAGCATTCTGCTAGCATTTCCTGCTGCTCTATTACATTGTCTGCCTACCTTTAAGTCATCAGAAATAATCACCCCTAAATCCCTTTCCTCATATGTTGAGGTTAGGACTCTATCAAATATTCTGTACTCTGCCCTTGGGTTTTTACGTCCAAGATGCATTATCTTGCACTTATCCACATTAAATGTCAGTTGCCACAATTCTGACCATTTTTCTAGTTTACCTAAATCATTTGTCATTTGGCTTATCCCATCCTGTTACATATCTTAGTATCATCAGCAAAAAGACATACCTTACCATCAAGATCTTCTGCAATATCACTAATAAAAATATTAAAGAGAATGGGTCCAAGTACAGATCCCTGAGGTACCCCACTGGTGACAAGTCCAAGCTTCGAATATATTCCATTAACTACAACCCTCTGTTGCCTGTCACTCAGCCACTGCCTTACCCATTCAACAATATTGGAATCCAAACTTAAAGATTGCAGTTTATTGATAAGCCTTCTATGTGCAACAGTGTCAAAAGCCTTACTGAAATCTAGGTAAGCAATGTCTACTGCACCACCCTGATCTATAATTTTAGTTACCCAATCAAAAAAATCAATAAGATTAGTTTGGCATGATCTCCCTGAAGTAAACCCATGTTGTCTCTGATCTTGAAATCCATGTGTTTTTAGATGTTCATCAATTCTATCCTTTAACAGTTTCCATCACTTTCCCCACTACTGAAGTAAGGCTTACTGGCCTATAGTTGCCCGACTCCTCCCTATTACCTTTCTTGTAAATGGGCACAACATTCGCTAACTTCCAATCTTCTGGGACTACTCCTGTTAACAATGATTGGTTAAATAAATCTGTTAATGGTTTTGCTAGTACACCACTAAGCTCTTTTAATAGCTTTGGGTGTATTCCATCAGGTCCCATTGACTTATTTGTCCTTACTTTTGACAGTTGAAATAGAACCTCTTCCTCTGTAAACTCATGGTTGTTCCGACCGTTCGGCACACGAACTGGAACCGCCCGGTAGGGGAGTACATGACCTGCGGTTAACTGCAGAAACCACATTCTAATTGCTGCCACACGTCCAACTGTAGGTGGTCTCCGTTCGTGAGTCTCTCGGCAGCTTCCATTCGGTAAATTGTATACAAATGTGGATCCTCCGTGATCGTCAATTAGTTTGTGGTTAACCGCAGACCGCAGCGCTTTAGGTGGTTAATGAGCGACACACTCCGCTCGTCGGGTGGTCGGTCATTCGGTACTTCGAGAGGTGATGAGGTTAAGTGGCGGCACACGCCAAAGTCTGGGGGGGTCTCTCGTTCTTACCACGAATTGTCCTTTATAATGATTCGTGTACTCCATTCGTATAATCTCTGTACCGATAGCGTAGGGTTCTTTATGCAAGGGGTTAGAGTGCAACAGTAGCGAGACGTGGTAACAATAATAAAGTCATATCGAGTCTTTGTAACACCACATATTTTCCATAGTTGGTGGGTTACTTCGACCGTGAATTGCGTACCCCTATCTGAGATTATCTCCTGGGGGAACCCCACCCGGGAGAAGACTTTCATTAAGGCTTCGGCCACTGTCTCGGCGTGGATATTGGAGAGGGCTACTGCCTCGGGGTACCTGGTGGCGTAATCCACCATGGTCAAGATGTACTTCTTGTCGGTTTTCGGTGATCCTTCAATATTGATAGTTATGGCTCGCTTCAGGTATGATGTGGACCTTTACCGACAAAAGGTCACTCCGGGTCATTCTAAGCTTAGTGTGTCTTTATGCAATCTATAGCTGTATATGGAGCAGACCCTTCCGTTCCCAAATTACTTATAAATACTGTTTTCCTTAACCATTCTAGATGATAACTTGACTATCACTAAAATAATCCAGTGTCTGAAGACCCAAAAGGCACTGTAATAATATTGTAATAAATGAAACAATGACTCAAATAAATATAAGATAAAAGTGTATTGAATGAATGTTACAGAATGCAAAATAGTCAGTAAATAATTAATCTTACCAAATGTATTAGTGGCTACAGCATATGTCCCTGTATACCTTTCAGATGTGTGGTGACAGCAGGCAGAGTAAGAGTAGATGGATGAATGAATGAATGGTGAATGAATGACAACGTCACACTCTTTCTCCTTCAGTTAAATAGGCATTTTGTCCTCCATAAAGCAGCCCCCACCTGTGTAATACTCCCAAAAAGGTATTCTAACTTGTTGCAAGATGTAATGTATTGAATATCTAAGTTTGGGATATACCCTAGATGGCTCTGCCTATAGTTAGCTTCAAAATTAAGTGAAGTGTTTTGTATACATTTGACTGACAACACATGTGTTTGTTCTAATTTAACTTCAACCTTTTAGCTGTTAACCTTGTGGAAATGTCATTGAAAATTTAACTTTTTCAAATCTAAGCAAAAAGGCCTGCAATATTTCATACACCTATGTTATACAGCTAAATGTACATTCATATTAGATATATATATGCACCATACCATATAATACATATATATATTGCAAACTACACATTAAATAATGATCAACACTCCACACTCCCCCACTTGTTTTTCTTCTATGACAAAACCAAAAAGAAAAAACAAGAGAAAAACAGAGAAAAATCAAAAACAAAACAACACTTGTGCCAAAGAGAAGAGAAGAGAAAGAGAGAGGAAAAAAAAATTGAATACAGCAATAATGAAAGCAAAAAAAAAAAAATAATCAAATACAAG